AAACCAACATTACCCCCAATAAAACATTTAGTATCAGATGGTAACTACTGAATATTTTTGTTAAATAAAAATTGTGCACATAATTTCACGGACCCAGAGGTTTCTTGCCTTGGCAAAGAAATGATTCTATTTGACATTAAAGTTATAAGGGCATTCAAAACATAAAATTTGGTACAAACTAAGCTATTGGAGTGATAGAAAGTAACTGGAAAAATATATCTTTAAAGAAAGCTCCAAACAGGAAGCTTTAGATTATGATGAAATTTGTGGCAATGAATTAAAAGGAAAGAAAAAGTCTAAAAATATAAACCATGGAATTTTAGAATTGGAAGAGGTCTTTAAAGTCATTTAGGACAATCGTTATAGTAGTTGAAATTTTGGACACTGCTTGGTCAGAAGTTCCATTTTTGAGTTAATACTGTTTAATTTCCGTTCAAGTTGGCTTTGGTCTCTCTATATTGTAATTTCAATGCTACTGGAGAAAGCTTCTTGCACGGAATAAATGGGCTGAGTTCTGAATGGCTGGTGCTGACTTTGGTCCAAACGGAACTAACTGCAGGGTCTTCTTTGATTTTAAAGGTTGCTAAACTCAGCTGCTCTTTCTGAATCTCTGAAGAGAGACTCCTTATCCTCAAGTGCAATTTTTGATCAAACTAACAACCAAGCCACAATCATGGCCAAGATGAGAGGAGACACTTATACACAGCAGCCCGCCATCTGTTCCCTTTGGCCAGCTCCAGCTCTGCAACCGAGAGGTGTCTTGTACGCTGATTACATCTTGGTTTGACCATGCTGACTGAATGCCATGGGCATTTATCCTTTCTATCCAGGCACACTTCTTCCAATCCTGCTGCAGTAAAGAGCTCCAGAGTTGGGCTATGAGCATAGGCAAGTTACTTAACTTTCGCAGGCCTATCTTTGTTTCCCATCTGCACAAGGGAGATGATAACAGTGCTGTAATTATCTAACACATAACTGGCAGGTTTAGGTGAGAGTATTGCCTGCAGAACATTTGGGACAACTTTTGGCATGCAGCAAACCCTTAACAAATGTCAGCTATTATTATTATCAACAAGGATAGCAATACTCAACCAGCATGAATTGGATTCTCTTGCCTCTCAAGAAGTGTTTCTATGTCATTTTATCCCTTTCCTTCAGCTCTCTCCTGAGCTCAAGACCGGGCTTTCCAGCTCTCAAGGTACCTGGAAGTGTCTGGGAGCCTAAAGCCATCCAGAGCCAGACCACTACCTGGTGCTGAACAGTATGTGACTCTCCTCTTTACCTCTCTGCTTTTGCGCAAGAAACCATCATTTTCTAGCCACCCAGGCGGAAGAACTGAATCTTTTATTTTTAACTACTTCTATATCCTCCACTTCATCAGTTGCCAAGGCATTCATGCACACATGCTCTTATTCACCAAATATTTAGTGAGACTTTTCCCTAGGCCCCAGGTACTGTGTTGAACTCGGGTTACACTGTGGTGAACAAAATGACACATTTCTGCCCTCATCTACAAATAAGTCATTACAAACTGGTATCTGTTCTGTGAAGGAAATCTTAGTCAGCATGAATACAAAGGGGACGATCACTTAAAATGAGGATCAGGTAAGAATGCTCAAATGAAGGACAAATTGAAGCAAGACCTGAAAGCTGAAAAGGAGTCTTTCAGGAGCACAGTAAAGAACAGTGAAGGCAGAGAGATCAGCAGGTAGGAAAGCTCCCGGGTAGGAAAAGGCTTAATGCCTTTCCTGAGGAAGTGGAAAAAGTGGCTAAAAGGTTGTGAACTTGCTGGAGATGACCTGCAGCAGCAGGCAGGGGCTTATCAGCCATGTATGAAGCCTCCAAAAAGGGTCCGAGCAGGAGAGACACAGGAACAGGCCCCTCAGTCTGCTTCTGGAGAATGGAGACTAGAGGGAGCAAGAATGGAATTAAAGACCAGTCAGGAGGCTAGTTGGACGCTTCTGGAAACAGAAGGTCAGTGGCTGTGGGGATGGAGAAGAATGGTGCACCCGAGACACAAGAGATAATATTGATAGGACGTGGTGACTGGGACGTAGGGAGAGGGTAAAAGACAGGTGACAAGGTTGATTCTTAGGGTTCTGGTATAAGCAGCTGAGCGGATTGAAAGAGCTTACACAATGTGCCTTTTGAAAGTTTCTGTATTCCAAAATATTTATATGCTTTCCCCTCTTCGTACAACCAACTTGCTCCAAGTCATTAAAACTATTTAGCTAGTTACTTCCTTCTCATTGGTTTTCCTACCTGTCTACACTGTCTTATCTTCCCAATATAGCTGCAGTCACATTATTCCCCATGGAAACACCTCGATGACTCCCTAAACACCTACTGAATTAAATACAAACTCCTTACCTTGCTTTCAAGGCTACAGCCTTATCTTACAACTTTCCTACTTAAGTCCTGTTGTCAAAATGGACTATTTCCTGCTTCTCGAACATGTCGCCAGTGTCCTCCCTCAGTGCCTTTGCCGATGCTATTCCTCCTGTTTAACCAGTTCAATCTGCTAAAACCTTATTCATTTAACCAAAGTTCATTAAAAGTCCTATCTTTAAATCTCATAAGACTTCATTATTCTCTTAGGGCACTTAGATTTCTCTGCCTTTTATTGTGGTTATTAGAGAACTTATCTCATGCCCATTCCCCTCCCCCTCATGGGCCATAATGCTGCTCAGCACACAGCCCTATTACTCATTCTGCACTATTGCCCTTGCCCTGGCGGCGTCAAGCACAGCGCTTCATCTACAGCAGGTACATTTTCTTGATTTTATTAGGTATAATTCACGTTATTAACTGTGCTAAGGAGTGATGAGACCCAAGCTGTTCATGGGAGATGTTTTCCAGTAGCACCAGTACTCAGCAAAATTCACCTCTGGTCAAACTCTGCAGCCATACTCAACACACACACACACACACCCCTTTTAATAGTCTCCTGGCTGCTCAAAGTACTCCAATGTAGTTCTCATAAGCTTACTCTTTCCTTGAAATATTGAATATTAAAAATTACAGCCTGACTCTAGATTTCCCAGACTACTTGTTACAACCATTAATGAGTCATGAAATCATTTTAGTGGGTCATAAACAATACTACAAAATTACATTGAAAATAGCTAAACACACTGACTATAGTAAGGATAAGTAATGATCCCTAAGTTTTAATTTTTAATATATTTATACAAATATGTGTGTATTGGATCATGACGTAAAATATATTTCCTACCATGGACCCCAGTCATAAAAATCTGAAAGCTAGTTCTTTCATGTTCTGTGACTCACCCCAAGATCAGCACACCGAACTCAAAGGTTAAGAAAATGAGCCTGACTATGAAAAGTTACTACTTCCACTGTAATATGCGAATGCCTCCTATAACTGACGCTTCTCTCAGGCTTATCTGCATTTATGTGCTTTTAACTCAAATTAATTTCAAATTGACAGCGAACCTCCTCTTTAATGACTATAAACACACTTAATTGTCAATTACAATCCCAACAAATAATTGGCTCAGAAAGGAGGAGGCAGGAGTAGGAAGCTCAAAACTGGTATCGTGCAAAGAACCCTAATTGGGGTACTGATAAATTTGGGTTAGATCTAGATGACAGAGGAGGTCACATAACCTAAAATTTCACAACTCTACATGGTAGGGAAAAGGTGACCTTTATTTGGAAGACAAGAAGATCATCTTGGTTCAATATCTAATAGGCAAATAATGCTATTAGCCTAGATTGTTTAAATATGAATTAATGCTTCTCCCATTATCTGGATCCAGTTAACACCCTTCGGTGAGATTGAATGTCCAAGTCTCCATTGAGTAGTGGATAAAATCCAGACTGTTTTTCTAGCATTTCAGACTTCTCACATCTGCCTAACTTTATCTCAACTACTTCTGGTTCAGATCTCTAGCCCTCTGCCCTGTCCCAGTCCTGTTTGTTTAATTTTTCTCCACCCCTACTCTCCTAGTTAAAGTCACATAACCTTCATAAAACCTTGCTACTACTCAAATATTTATATATCAGACCTTGACCTTTGAATTCCTAGAACAATCCTATGTGATAGGCATTATCTTACAGTTTCACAGATAAGCAAATAGAGGCCCCCCAGGGGTTAAATTGCTTTGCCTGCCAGGGTCCCACAATTTCTAAGTGGCAGAAGGACTGGGTCTAATTTGCTTGCTTTTCGAGTCCATGCTATTTCCCCTCCTTCACTGGGTCATGCTGCTTCCATATATTAAAAAACCATGGAGTCAGGATGCAGGAAAAAAGCCCATAAAGCAGTTATAATACAGCTTGTTGTGACATAAATTCGGATACACCACTTCCTTTGAAGCATATGAGTAATAAGTGCTTGGGGTAGCAAGGATAGTTTTAAGGCGGTTGTCAGTCCTGTTGTCTAAACCCAACATTTAAATATAATCCTGGGAAATTGAGAGGTGGGTGGTTAAAGTGTGTATGTGTATGTGGGGTTAGAATATGGTATAAGAAGGGAATTTAGAAACGGGACAGAAAAGCGATGAAGGTATAATATAAGCAGGCGATGCACAATACAGAGGCTCAGAATATGGAAATATGAGATAAAGGACGCTGATTTCTAAGTTAGGGGGCCTTATCTATGCCTAACGAGAGGTGTGAGCATGAGAGGGTTGATGTTAATAACCCATTACACATGGACAGAGAGCAAGACCAAAGAGAGGGACAAATAAGGACAGGTCGTGGGGACACGGGGTAGATCATGGCTTAATGAGGGGATGGTGGCGCCAACTGAGGGCAGAGCAAGGGTCGAAGTGAAAGGCGAAGAGTTCAGAGGGCACAACGCCCCCTGACTTCAGACAAGACTTGTCTCCCTCCCTCTCAATAGCTGGGTGGTGTCTTTAGGATTCACATTCGCAATCCACAAAGCCCCCTGGAGTGGCTCAAGGAAGGGAGGGGGGTCAAGTCCCCAATCCCCGCGGACTCCGCGATGGGGCGGAGGGAGGCAGGAGGGTCCTTACCGAGGAAGATGGAGATGATGAGCCGCAGCGCCTGTTCTGACGCGCCCAGGGACGTCGCCAACTTGTTAAGGTTCAGGTCCTCGAAACCCCACCGCAGCACCCTCGAAAGCTCCGCCACCGTTCCCACGTCCCCCTCAGTTGCGGACGCCATCTTAGCTTCGGGCGCCCCCCAGGGACCCCCCCCAGCTCCGCGCGCCCCGAATGTGGGCACAACACAGTAGCTTCACCCCCAATTCCGGCCCGGAGCCCGCCCACGGCGTGCGCATTGGTTGCAGACCCGCCCAGAGGCACTAGGCTCGCTGGTTATTGGTCAGTCCGTTCAGGGGGCGGGGCCTAGCGCCGCAAGGTAGGTAGGGGGCGGGCCTAAAGGTTTGTAAGGCTAAAGTGGCTCCCGCCGAGAATGATCGCGGGGCGGGGCGGGGGCGGGGCGGGGGCGGGGCTTGGAATGGGAACTAGAGTTGCGATTGGAAGAGTCTAAAGCCGGCGGAGAGGTGATTGTACCACACTGGGCTAACAGCTTAGGGGCGGAGTCGGGGAGGGCATGAGCCCGGCCGGCTCGTGCGCTGCCTTTCCATTGGCTGAGACTAGAGCAGGCGAGAGTCGGGGCGGTGGGGAGGGCGTCACCCGACCGCGAGGTTACTCTCGGTCGCCGGCGCGCTGGGGTTACTGGGGCATGTAACGGAGAGGGCGGGAATCCTGCTGCAACCTCTCGAGCGCCTCCTAACCGTACCTCCAGGGAGGTTCTTAAACCGTTAGACATGCCGTCTTCACCCCAAAGATCTTAGAAAGCCCAGCGCCCCAAAGCATGACTTGTTCTTTTTATTTCATACATCTCCTCTTCACAGAATTTCCTATATTAAAATGTTACTGTCCCATGATAGGCAATGAAATGAAGACATGTGGATTTCATACCAACTCAGCTCATTAAAAATTAAACAAATGTTGCCCCTAGGTAATACAAGTTCATGGTGGAAGTTCAAACAGTACAGTAATATATAACAGAAAATAAAAGTCCTTTCTTCTCCCAACCTGCCTCTCCGTTTTCCTACAGGTAACTGCTTTTCAGTTACATGAACACAATTGTGTTGAACACGAGGCATGTGCTAGGAACTGCACTGGCCTCTAGGCAAAAGAATTATGATCCCAAAGCATGGAATGGGAATGATGCTGCCACTTAATATCATTAATAGATTTAATGTATGTGTAATTAATTGCAAGAGAGGTAAGTGCTTTGAAGGAAAGAAAAGATTCTATCAGCGTAGAACATTGAGTTTTTTTGCAATGATTGGAATTTGTGGAGCATTCTTATACAATTTCAGGTTGTGGCCCTCCCGGGTGGCGCAATGGGTTAGGGCGCAGCACTGCAAACTAGCTGCAGCCACTTTGAGTTGGATGTCCCCTCATACCCCACCTCCCCTGCCGGGAGATGAGCCATATGGCACAGCAAACCTCTCCCACACTGGGTCCCTCAGCAGTGTACTTGGTAGATCTTCCGGTTCTGCTCCCCACTCTGTTTTTGGTGAATCATCTCATCACCCCTGCACCTCTGGCCTGTACCCCAGTTTTGTATGCATAAATAAGTAAACCTTAAAAAAAATTCAGCTTGTGCATTTATAGTGTTACAGCCATTTCCCAGAGAAATCAGATGGCACTCAGAGAGGTGAAGAGAGATTTACTTGTCACACTGGTAGGCTCTGCGATCAGTACCAAAAGGCTGAGCCCTGTATTATAGGAATGGTAAGACTTTATACAGTTTGTATGAGGAAGCTCGTTATCCCATCTATCATAGCATAAACATTCTTTATTGTTTGGAAAGGGGGTCAAGGTAGCCATAGCCATTACTATGGATAAGCTATATACTGCTGGAACTTTCTGCTCCAGCAAGCAGCAGAATCCAAGCAACAGACTCCCCCAAGCAATAGATTTGGGAAACTTCCTGATTCATTAGCACTTTACACTTTAGAAAACACATAGTCATATTATTTCACTTAATTTGGCTCTGAAACAGAATATTTACTATTCTGGAAACTTTAACGGACCCAGAGACTTGGAGGATGAATGAAAGATGAAAGCATTTGTTAAGTTCCTTTCCGGCATGTGGCAGATGAAATTCAAACCAAAGTCTGATCATTTTTATCTCCCTCTCCCCATTTTGGGTGGCAAAAATGTATAAAATATGAAATATAAACATTCAGGGAAGAATGATATAACTTCCCCTTGGTTAAGAAACAAGCAAAATGTACATAGTTGAAAAGCCTGCTACATCCTCCCTGATGGCATATTCCTCCTTCCTTTACAGAGATCACCACTTTGCTGACTCTGGTATTCATCATTCTGGTGCCTATTTTTATACTTCACAGACTGGACATTCCAGAAACAATATAGAGAATAGTTTTGCATGCTTTTAAACTTTATATTGATGTTACAGTAAATGTATCACTAGGCAACATATTTTCATCCTGAATATCTTTATTGAGATGGATCGATTCATTCATTTTAACTGTGATGTAATATCTCATTGTATGACTATTACACATACACTATACAATGCCCCACTAGGTATTTATTTTCTGAACATGTCTATTCTGTTTTGATTCATTGTAAAAACTGCTGATCAGGGTCCACTAATTGATATCACTACTTACTAGTGGCTCATAACCTTCAATTTAGGAAATACTTCTCCATGGTTTGTAATGTGGAGAGCAGAGAAAATTCCCCCATATCCCTCTGGATTCTTCTCAGGCTACTTAGGCAATCAAATCAGCATCAGAGAAATTAGTAGGGGGAAAAAAATCTAACTTAATTATATATCTATGTTGAGTCTACATAGATGTGGCTTCCAAATCCAATGGGCAAACTGAGGTTGCTCAATATTCTGAGCTAAGGAATGGAAGATGCTCTGTAACTAGATATTGACCTGCCATATAGATAGATTTCTCCAACAGAAAGGTGGTTTCTGGTAAAAATCCTAATTTGGGGTAACACCTCCAATTTCTATCCTTTTGGGTGGTTTAAAGAGTGCTAAAAATGTATTATGAGCCCTTAAGTAACTTTAGTTTGAAATAGTCCACATACCTATTATGTCACATCTTGGAGAGACCTTGAACATCCTGGGATACCTAGCCTTCAGTAAGCAGGAAGAAAATTAAGGGCTGTAGGGTATGCATACTGTTGGGGAGAGAGGAATCTCTCCCTTTCTCCTCTTGGTTCTTCTAGTAATCACATTAGTATCAGACAGATTAAGTGGATAATAAATCTAAAATATAATAACATATATTCCTGCTGTATTCACATGAGGCACTTAGTAAAACTGACTAATTCTCCAAAATGGTTAAGTCCCTCCTTAAATAACTTCAGAAAGACAAAGGATGTTGGGGAAGGAATAAGAAGTAGAAGGTCAATTCTGGGAAGTTCCTAGGAAAGGCACAGTAAACAAGGTTTTGACTGTGATGCAAAATTCCAATGCAAAGAGTTAAAGAGATTTGCTCTACCAGTCTTCCCAGAGATGGAGATACTCTTACAAATAGAGATTTTCGTTTATACATGGAAATGTCTTCCAAAAGGGCAACCTCCACTCAGAAGCCATTTATGAAATAATCTTTAGACGTGGTATCTTCCTGCCCAAGAAGCATATTTTGGGGTAGCAAATCTTGTTTGGGATAGCAAATCACACAATACCTTCACTTTTACTAATTTTGACTAATGAAGTGTTTGGCTAAATGTTTAAATGTTATTTAAAATTCCTCACATTTCGGGCCCTCCCTGGTGGCGCAGCGGGTTAAAGCACAGCACTGAGAATCTAAAGCCGCTTCCGCATGAGTTCGATTCCCGCCTGCCCCGGAAGGGACCACATGGCGTGGCAGACCTCTCCTGACCCGCCCGCTGCTCCCCTCAGCAGTGTAATTCGTAGATCTGCCTGTTCTGTTCCCCACTCTGTCTCTGGTGAAGCCTCTCGCTGCTCCTGAACCTCTGGCCTATACCCCAGTTCTGTATGCACAAATAAATAAATCTTTAAAAAAAAAAATTCCTCACATTTCTCGGGCTTTTCCTGGTGACGCAACAGGTTAAAGCACAGCACTATGAGTCAATCCATACCCACTGCAGTATGAGTTTGATTCCCAGCCAGGGAGGTGACCCACATGGCCCAGCAGACCTCTTCTGACCCGCTGCTCCCCTCAGCAGTATACTTCAGTCAATCTGCCTGTTCTGCTCCCTGCTCTGTCTCTGGAGAATCCTCTCACCTCCCATATCTCTGGGCTATACCCCAGTTGTTGCATGCATAAATAAAATAAATCTTTAAAATAAAATTCCTGACATTTCTGGCTTGTTGACTAAGTGAAATATATCTGTTAAAACATCTAGTAAGCTTGATGGTTGGCGGGGGTGGGGGGGTATCTCCCAGAAAGTTTTATCATATATTCAGCTGTGTTTGTTCCTTCTTGCATTTCTGATGTCTGAGAGAAGGGTGAGGATGGGACAGAAGGGTGGGTCTTTGTTGACACAACAGGTCATGTTTGGCTTCCTTTTCCGGTATTTGGTTGGCTACATTCTCCTCATTCTTTGGTGGTTCAACGTAGTGCTTCTTTCTCCAAGAGCATTATGGCAATTTCTGGAAGCAACCAGGCAACACTCACGGGAGAAAGGAAACCAGGGGAAAAGGGAGATTCATTTGTCACACTAGTGGGTTCAGTGGGATAGCTCCCAAAAGTCTGAGCCTGGAATAGCAGGAATGGTAAGGTTTTATATGGTTTTTATAGGGAAGCTTGCTATGCTTGATGCTTGAGTTACAGGTGATAGCATGGGGTATGTGGGAGTTTATCAGGAACTTTTCTGAGCAGGGGGTCATGGTAACCTTGATTGTTATTGTGGGCAAGTTGTTCAGAGGCCTTAGCAACTTCCTGCTTCAGGGACACTAGTGGTAAGTGGCAGATGAAAAGATTAAGATTCTATGGCTTCTTGCTAGTGGGCAGAATAAGGGGCAACTCATGGACTCCTAAACTTTGCAGTTTCTAAGTTGGTTCTTTCATCTGTGTGCGTATAAAGACAAAACATACACTTAGCATGCGAGACCTTCAATAGAAAAGACTTTAATACAATTAGGGTGTAATGCAGAGAAGAGTAAGAATATAGTTCCCCAATGCAACACCCACAATTACCCATTCCCCTTGTGGGCAAATGCCCAGTCAGACAGGGCTGGTTCCAAAGCAGGACAGCTGAC